TTCCGAGTCGCGAAACAAGAAAGGCATACAGAGCTTTTTTGAAATGTGTGAATATTACCGGTCATTCATAAAGGATTTCTCTTGGATATCTCGACCCCTGATAAATTTCACCAAAAAAGAAGTTCCCTTCGTCTGGGATGCAGCCTGTGAAGAAGCGATGCAATCTCTCAAAGAAAAGCTGAAATCAGCCCCCGTGCTGCGTCATTTTGAGCCGGTAAAGCCAATAGAGGTGCACACGAATGCATGCGATTACGGCATTGGTGCCGTGATCATGCAGAAGACCGGAGCTCACGAAAGAGTGATCGCCTATGCTAGCCGGCATCTTAACACAGCCGAGATCAACTACAGCACAACCGAGAAGGAATGTCTTGCGGTCGTGTACCCCTGTGGACAGTTTCGGCCACATTTTTTGGCACAAAATTCACAGTCGTGACCGACCAGGTTAGCCTTGCTTGGCTCATGAAGGTCAGGAATCCGAATGGTCGCCTCGTGCGGTGGTCTTTGTTGCTGCAAGAAATTGACGTAACGCTGAAGCATCGACTATACTTAAGAATGAAAATGCTGACACGCTCTTTCGCCTTCGTCATGATCCTGCACCAGTAGGCGAAGAAATCACATTGCCATTGCTGGTTCTGGATTGAGTGAACGTTGGAGAGAAACAGAAGGTAGATCTATAGATGAAAGAGATTATACACCACCTCGAGCACCCGAACGCATCCGCTGTCAGAAAAATTAAAAGAACGGCTCGCAGCTTTTGCTTGATCAATGAGCTGTATCGGAGGGCGAAAGGGTTTCGGGAAGACTGGACCACACTCGTTGTCCCCGAGTGCCTGAGACCAGAGATACTGAAGCACTGTCATGACGACACCACGGAAGGCCACCGCGGTGTAAGGCGCACATGGGAAAAAGTACGTTGCAGGTATTTCTGGCCGAAGATGTTCGCATACGTGAGTTCTCACCTGTCCAGACTGCCAGACGAGAAAGCCACCACCAGGCAAACTGATCGGATTTCTCCAACCTATACCTCCAGCAGGGCGGCCATTCGAGAAAATCGGGATGAATTTTCTTGGACTCTTCGTGAAAAGTAAACGCGGCAATCGCTACGTGTTTGTGGTGACTGACTACCATACAAAGTGCGTAGAAGTGGGCACCTGCCCCGCTGCAACGGTCGTTGAGGCAGCCCAGGCTTTTGTCTAGCAAGTTGTTCTACGACATGGAGTTCCGGCGAAGTTAATCACTGATCGGGGAAAGCATTTTATTAACTTCATTGCAGAGATATTCCGAGTAATGGGGAGCAACCACGTCAAAACCTCCGCCTACCACCCGCAGTCGAATGGCCTGTGCGAGAGATTCAACCATGCGCTTGCAGACATGCTCACTATGTACGTCTCTACAAATTGCCATGATTGGGATAGATTCCTTCCCGATGTTGTCTTCGGTTACAACTTTTCTCAACAAGAGACAACCGGCTTCACCCTATTATTCTTGTTGCATGGCCACGAGCAGACTTTGCCCATTGATGCGAGCCTCAACCTACAACGTGACAACGAAGACGCTTTCGACGCATATGCAGTGGCGCATGGGCTTCGCCAAGCTCGGGAGCTCATGGCTCAGCGTGAGAGGGACAAACAAACAAAAAACAAAGAAGCGTACGATTTCCGCCGATGGGGCACTGTGTTTCGACCGGGGCAATTCATGTACGTGTAAACGCCCTCACGAGCAAGGGGCAAAACAACAAAGCTCCTCCACCGCTACCTTGTACCAGTTCGCCTCTTTCGACAAGTCGCGAAGAACAACTGGGAGGTCGTATACCGCAGTGGAAGGAAGAGTGACACTGTCAACGTAGCGCGTTTAAACCTGTGTCGTCCTCGTTCATGTCTCGACTACGATGAGGATGACGAGAGTGAGAGTGAACGTGAGTGTTCGGTCCGTGCTGACACACCAGTGCCGCAGGGTGGTGCAGCAGTTACGCCCACGAGTGACCACTAGTGACACCGAGGTCTACTTTGATCCCCGGGCACAATATTGGGACCAGTCAGCGGACACCAAGCCGAAAAGTCTCTGAATCTGTGACAGTGACACCGAGATTTACTATACAGTCGGTGATCTTGAGTGAGTTGTAGGACTCCTTTTTGAACTCCGTGTGTCGCAGCGTGCGCTTTCGTGCTGTGATGTGTGTGTCAGAACTCCAGTTAGCAGTTTATTTTTTCCTTGTTTCACTGTTTTAAATCAAGTTTCACTTTGAGCCTGCGTATTTCTCCATCTTGTATTAGTGCTTCAGTGTCTTGCAGATGTAAAATGTTTTGTTCATTTATTAGGTCGTGGGTCGCCTTTTTCACGTGTTATAGTTATGTGTCTTTTAATTTGTGTGTTTTATTTTTAAAAGATTGTGAAAGTCCTTGCTTTTTTGGGGGGGGGGGGGGGGGGGAGGGCGCGAACCACATTGTGTCCTTGTGTGCGGCTTTTCAGTGTACTCATCAAGAGTGAGGACACTTTTAGTTCGTATAGGGGAAGTGCCGAGTAAACGATGATGTAGCTATTTCCTTTTAACTTTTGTCACTTAATTTAGTTGCGTAATTTTGTTTTTAAGCAAGCCTCAGAAATCCTCGCCACTGCAGCGAAGACGAATCTACCAGACTCGTACATCGTTTGGACTCCACGTCACAAGTCGCTCATGGGAAATGAGGCAGCCAATGCTTTCGCTCGACCTCATGTTCGCCGGGCCATTCCACAGGATGTGCTAAGGAGAAAAGAAGATGTACCAAAAAAGTGCCACAATATAATGCAGTACTACAGGCTCAACAGAAAAATTAAGGAGGAAGAAAAAAATTGCTGGAGTGGAAGCTCTCGCAATGCCTTGGCAGCAGAAGTGAAGCCAGTTTTTACCACTGCCAAGATGTCGGAAACAGGCTCTTTACTGGTAGTGCCCACTTAGTGATCAAGTGGCTTTGATATGTTAGTGTAAATGCTATGCTAGTTCTATATTAAAGTTAGTTGGTCTCAATCAAATAACACACAGAAACGAGTATGGGCGACTTATTTTTCAGAAAACTTTGCCTCCAATTAGAGGCTTATTAAAAAAACCAGTCGCACTCGGAGTAGTATGTCACCCGAAAACGTTTGCACAATAAACTCGCTGGGTGTGCGAGAGGAACCCTTCGTTCTTAATCGCTGAACGATGTTTTTTCCTCTTGATTACAGGGATCTGCGGGACGGCTTTCTGCTCTCTCACAGTGCAGTACCAAGCACTGAAAATCGTTAAACATCTTTTTTCTAAACACACAGTGATACTTTATCATGTCCCTAGTTAGATGGCCGCGGTAGCCACCATATTGCCGGTAGCACAGTTTCACTCCTGGGCAGTGATTCCCACTCCAGCATTTTTTTTTCTAAATTCTCATTGAGAAAAATTTATCCGCCAGCTCACCCCAGCCTGACTCGGGAAGAGTGAGTAACCCTCAGAAAGCTGCAAACTAACACCTACGTGCACAGTATGGTGCTTCACCGCGTCTCTTAACCGAGTACTCGTACAACTGCAAGCACTAGTGACGTCCGAGAAACCCCATTCCATATAGTATGGCGATGCAGACAAAGCTTCAGAGCCACTACACTAACCGAAGAGCAGTGGGAGGCCCAGTTATCAGACCCGGGCCTGAAGAATTAACGCAACATCGTTCAACGGGCACGGGAGATGGCGTAAGCATGGAATAAGGAAGCCGCCCACCTTGGGCGCACAATACGTTTGCTCAAATAAATGTTTATTCTTTCTCTCTCTCGCAATCTGTGGAAGTATATTCATAACGTCATATCCGCGACGGAAATACGCCAGTGGAGCCGTGGTGGGCCCCGGCATAACACACTTTCGTGTTGCCCCCACCGAGCTGGTCTTAAGTGCTCACCTGCTGACCCGCACGTAGCGTTATCGAATCCGGGCTGCGGCGGCTGTATTTTCGAAGGAGGTGAAAATGCTGTAGGCCCGTGTGCTCAGATTTGGGTGCACATTATTAAAGAACACCAGATGGTAGAAATTTCCCGAGCCCTCCACTATGGCGTCTCTCATAATCATATAGTGGTTTTGGGACTCTAAACACCACATATCACTCATCAATGAAATAGTGTCATGTTAAAAAGTGCCCCCATCCCACTTCACCCCCGAAAAAAAAAACACCAAGCCAGCGCGTAAGCCGCAGCACAGTCATGAAGAGCGAAAGCTAGAAGAGCAGCCTTGCACAGCCTTCATTGCAGAGCACTCATTGTGTAACTACTGCAAGCACACTAGCTTGATACCCACTACGGGATTATTAATACATTTTTTTGGTAGTATACCGGTATTTGATATGCTTTTTATCGTCATTCTTCTGAAAAGTGTGGTATCCGCTAAACGTTTGCAAGGAATTTTGTGCCAATAGTTTATGCAGTGGCTGACGACGGTGAGGAATCATGGCTGAATTGGGTATGCGCAATAGTTAACAGGGGAGCTAGAACAAGCTTTTGTAATGTATTGGAGCTTTGGTTGACCCACTTGTTAGGCTATTCGCATTGTGCGACGACTGGTTGCTCTTTCGCTGTTTTAAAACGCTTTGTAAGTCGTGTTAACGCGATTGCTTTCCCGACATCAAGCCTGCCTAGCGCAAGTTTGACAACAAGGCACAAGCACCAGTGTAGCTCAGTGTTAGAATACTAGGCTGGCACCCAGTGGACCCGGGCTTGAGCCCCACCATGTCATTGGTGTTAGGTTCTTTATTTCTAATTTCGCACTAAGTGGTTACGGACACCAGCGGCGGTGGCGGAGGCGGCGGGAAACTATACGGTGGCGCGTGACCCGAGTCGTGATCTCATAACAACTTTCACTGTAAAAAATTGTGCCTATGACCCTGATTCACCAGCACCAGCAAACATTAGCTATAACATTGGCTATCCACTAATATAATGAGGAATTACATATGTAGTGCACCACGTGAAACATTTGCTTAAACTTTTTCCTTCTTCTTGTAACGCAGGAGGGGTGCGTTTTCTTCGTCCAACTGGTCACCTGTCAAACTGGACGCACGGCGAGTTCCTACGACAACATATGAAAACGTGATCTCTACCACTTCTTCCTGCCACATAATCATCCACGAAAGCGTCTGCTGATGTACTCCGTATGATATTCACTCTGAGTGTACTGATACTTCGTGAAAATTATGGGTTGTTGCTTTGGCAAAACGTTTTGTTTTGCAAGAAGAAAAAAATCGTGAAGACATTCTGTTGGGCGAGTTCGTTAATGAATGCAAAAATGGAAAAAAATCGTTACGCTAAAGGAACAAAAACAGCAAAAGAAAAAGCACCCGTCCTGTTCTTCTGTCATACTGTTCTTTCTGCAGGACTGTGTTTTTCTCACTGTTAATCTCTGACTCGCATCCAGTAGATCTGTTCTGAATAGGGCTCACACATCCGCAACTTCATCACCGTATCCGGTTCAAGCGGAAAAATTCTTACCCGCTAGCGCTGTAAAGTCTACCGCACAAACAGCAATAACAGCTGCCATCTATGGCATTAAGTTCTAACTCGAGGGTCTCATGAGCAGTATTAAGTCACAAATGATCGTATTTGAACAGCCCATGCTCTCAACTGGTTTATCACTGCACTGCTGAGTTGAAAGGAGGATGAGCCATCTACAACGAAAAAAGTATCACAAGAATGGGTTCTCGATAAGGATGCTGGCATCGCGATAACCCGTGAACGCTAAGACTTTCATTGTTTCTCGTAGGGCAATGCAAATCATGAATCTCCTGCGTGTTGGGGAGGTATTGTGATAGTTTAATTGTCCGCCTCTGGAACAAGAAAATGTACAGTACGGGAGATGACCGCCTGGTGCAGTTGATTGCAACCCCACGGCGTTGAAACACATGAATGCAGCCTGCCGACGGTAAACAAAGATATGTTTTGCTTATTTCTGTGTTTTGTCTGAACAGGGCTCAAATCGGCCACCTCAAAGGGGCACCAGTGGGAGCATCTGGAAATTGTGGGAATGCGGAATGCATTGATATTCGCAGTGACCACGGCCTGTAGATGGCGCGCTGTGCAATCCAAGATGGCTATGGAAGGACGATCAACCCACTCGCATAGGGAAATATAGGACGCACAGACTTACGACCCGCGCCGCTTTCACTGTATGAACTCTGGATGGTCAAATGAAGGTATAATGAACCAAAGTAGTTTCCCAAACTATAGGAGCTGTAATTGTTCGCTACGTCGTTTTTGCCGCAGTGCGAAGGGTGGTGGTGTCAACTGATCGACTGTGTTGATTTCGCCGATGCCTTGCATAGCCCTTTGTGTGCTACGGAATACCGCATGAACTAGAATAGACGTATGGTCTAGACGGCATTCCGAGGCACGTACCAAGCCTGCCTGACAGTTTGCCGTGGTAGCCCCGCCGCGGTGGTCTAGTGACTAAGGTACTCGGCTGCTGACCCGCAGGTCGCGGGATCGAATCCCGGCTGCGGCGGCTGCATTTCCGATGGAGGCAAAAATGTTGTAGGCCCGTGTGCTCAGATTTGGGTGCACGTTAAAGAACCCCAAATGGTCGAAATTTCCGGAGCCCTCCACTACGGCGTTTTTCATGATCATATGGTGGTTTTGGGATGTTAAACCCCACAAATCAATCAATTTGCCGTGGTAATTGGCAGCTAGCTAGTAATGTCATAGCATATCTGCTAGGCACCGCATTGGAGTGACGATCCAAGCATGTATATACAAACTGTCATCAGAACTTAGACAGTCAGGAGTGCGGAGTGATTTCTTAAAAATGGCAGCATGTCATTGTGTCTTTGAACTTTTCAAAGCAAGTAGTGCTTACGCCGAAAACGAATGCTGCGCACCTTAATCTATGCCCCGTTCTTCCTAGCACAGAACATCACTATCAAAGTTGTCAGTCCCAATCTAGACGTGATCGAAGTCAACCGAATTGATTCATATTATCTGATCACGTCACAGTGACTGTTCTTGATCGCAATCAAAACAGGTTCCGATCGGTTTCAATTTCGGTCATAAGGGCCTCGTGTGGATATCGCTTCGCATTTGTTATGGTGACGTGATGCTGACTTGTTCTTCATCTTAAGACGCAATGTGAATTTCCATCGTGAGCCATGACATAGGAGTCAACATTTTGAGTACCAATTTCTTTGTAAAGATAAGAAAATCTGCTACTACTTGTAAAAAAGAAAAGAGAGACTTTAAAACAGGCCCATATCCATTCATCACTGAGGCCGGGGCTAAATGAAGGGAGGCCCCAGTTTTGATTGCACAACAGACCAGATTTTCATATGTTACTAAGCACATGTGTAGAACAAAGTTTTCTCAAACCAAACTAAGCATATGTGTATCCCTTTCGTGCCCTATTACTGCACAGTAAAGTGATAAGCTGAAATTTGTTGTTTTTCATGAGCAGCATACAATATAAAATGGCACTCTTATTTATTCAAAAAATCATATAAACTGGTTGTTCAAATTGCTTGCCTGAAATCCTGCTCTGCAGCTGCAAAGGCAGTGTTTTATCAAGTGTACGTAGAACCACCTTTTTGTATTAATATTATTTGGGTGGGGAAATAGAAGGAGGGTTGAATTTTAATGCTGGCCCATTTTTATTACTTTGTATCCCAGCATCAACGTACATGCGAATATAAAATATCTGTGGAGAGGGCTCAGGCTAGCCAACGCATTGCCTTAAAAATCAATTTGTAATATTGCCATTACTTAAGCATTTCATGAAAACTTCTGTGTGGCTGACTGAAGACGTAGAGCAAAAATATTGATGAATGAATGAGTGATAAGTAGGGTTTGACGTCCCAAAACCACCATATGAGTAGGAGAGACGCCGTAGTGAAGTTCTGCAGAAATTTAGACCACTTAGGGTTCGTTAACGTGCGCCGATATCTGAGCACACGAGCCTAGAAGGTTTTCGCTGATCCACTGAAAACGCAGCCCTACGGGCGAGCAGCCGAGTTCCTTGGCCACTCAGCTACCGCGGCGGGAACAAAAGAATATTTGACAGAGTACAAGGAAAGGGACGAAAAAGAACGCTGTCCTACGTCAAATACATTTTTTTGTGCTCCAGTTATGCATTACAACACACCCAACTTCATTATCTTGTCATCTATGTGTGTCAACTCATATGGACTAACAGTAGTAATTGTGCCTTGAACAATAGCTTTTTCTCAATCACCTGTCGAGCTGTATGCCTAATATGTTTGTTTCATAAGTTTTGTCTGACTTCTTAGGATTCGTTGAATTATTCAGCTATGTTTAACACAAGGAAGGGTTCGTCGTGTGTGAGTTGTGCTGCACTTTGAGTTACCAAAGTTTTGCAAAATTAGTCGTGAATTCCAGGCATACTCAGCTCATTTAGAAGCTGGTGGAACAGTGCATAGTACTAGTAAGACCTGCTTCGTTGCAGTGTGGCTCGGCAGGCCACATCTGAAATGTACCTGAATGTGAATTCCAGAAGTAACGTTTGCAGCTGATTTGCTTTATTCGAGACATGAAGTGAAGACATACATTCCATAATTTTTTTTTGACTTGACTTGTGAAAATAGATAGTCCAAATCGAAGAGCGCCGAAAATTAGCACGTTGAATCATAACAGCAAGATAAATGTCTGTAGAACAATGCTACTGCTGGCGACGAAAGCTTTCAATTAGTGCGTAAACATGAACGCATTAATAATGATGATCAGTGATAAGATCATTTACATGTTGAAGTTGAGCTCGGGGCAAACAAATGCCCCTTGGGTGATAAAAATGATGGTGATGATGAAAGCTTTTAACATGAGCGATTAACGTGTTCATAAAGGGGGTGAGGAACGATGATGAAGAAAATGTTGCCTCAGGGTCATGAGCAAGTGGCCATAGGAACATTTACCAAAATTGTGATAATAGTGATAAATATGTTTAACGGAGGATGAAGGCATCGATTATAATTAGGTAGCATAGACAGAACATGTAAGTAGTGCTGAAGGTAATGATTATTGCATTGAAACAGGTGTCGGCCAGGCTCTAGGTTGATTCCCACTCTTGTATGTATTATTATTGCATATATGCAAGAACATACTTACTAGCGCAAATGGATTAGCAGCGGGATGCAAAGAGTTGACTAGTAACATTAAAATGTGCAGACGTAAATTAGTAGGCATATTCACCTGTATTCTCGTCAAGCTGTTTTCTGCACAAGTAAAGCAACAAAGATACCAAGTGGGCAAACGATATGTTATTGGGCAAAGGAGAAGCATTGAAAGGTGACGGAAAGACACTTGCAAAGCAGAACCACTGAAGTAGGACACTGCATGGGATATCCTGCAGCTTTGTTTCGGTAATTCTGAGTTGTCTCATGACAGCAAAAAAAAATATATCAATGCATGCACTGCTTCAGCGCTTCCACATCAATGTAGCCTGCAAGTGGAACAAATACTGCTACAAGGCCCTCGTCAAACCTTTAAGGACACAAACATCCAAAAATGATGGCAGAAAATCCAAGACTTCTTTTTCATCTTCGTGTTTTTATGTGTACTGTCAGCATCAAACGAAACCTTAAAAAGGCATCCTTTGAAAAAGGCAACATGTGTAGGTGTGTGGCTCATGCTCTGCTGCAACTGCCTTGAGGGTGAGCAGTTGACTGAAAACGAAAAACTTGTATCTGAAGTGCATTGTTTGCTTTCGCAGCTAAATATGTAGCCAAAACGACCAGTAGTCCTGTACATGCCAGACCTCACCCCTGCTCAGCATGGTGGCAGTTCCCTTTGGTTTATCAGGCTACTGCTTCTGGCCACGGATGGACCACATAACGAAATTCCTCCTCTGTGTGCGTGTTGTCGCAACAAGTTGCCAGCTCATGTCTATAGCCACTCACTGGTTGGATTCTTTTGATAGAAGATTCCCCTTCCCGCTAAATGAGACAATGTGAAAGAACATTTGTTTAAAAAGTGACATTTACTATTTTTTAAAAGATTATTCACCGAAATTGCGGGCCACACGGCCTACACGAGCTTCACTGTACGCTTTGCCTTTTCTTTCAGACACGTCCCAATATGAAATACAATGTCCAAAAAAATTAGAGAGCTGGTATGCTTACAAATGACCACAAAAGTGCACGACTCACCCATGACAGGTATCATTCTAAAATGTTTGTCTGGCAACGTAAATTTCTTTCTTTAGCTGGCTCCTCAGCGCATCTCATGGCATTTAAACATACTCAGTATAAATGCACACAATCTCAAAGATGTCCAGACACACACCGGTGCTTAGTTTCGTCTCCGGGTCAGTGCTAAGAAGAAAACATAACTGCA